AGATACAGGCGTAAAGGCTCAGTAAAATTCTCAACGATTTATCCTTATTTCATATCCACATCACGATACTTGTTGCTGCAAACTACCTCATAAATGAAGTCAAAACAGATACCCCTTGCGGAGAAAAAACTCATTGCACAAAGATGCGCTTAGCTGCAATTAGGAAATCTGCATTTATCTAAATTATTTTTCCACAAGTAATGGCAAAATTGGCCTGACAAGTAGGATACAGTTATCTTTAATCCATGGTTAAAAGTTTATCGTGAGCAAGAGTCTGTATATTGGTAGAGGTATATTATTTTATGTAGAATATATATAAACTAGTGTCCAAAGGTCTGAACGGTGTTTATTTCATCTATTTTTAATTGCAAATATGTATTCAATTAATAATTTTTAAACAAGATTGCTTTATTCTTTTGTATATAAGAAGAGTTTCGAGACTCTGAAATGTATTGTTAAGGGGACCATCATTTCCAATGAAAGAGCATGAAGAAGAGATTCTTTGGTCGATCTCACCAGATGAGGACAGATGAAACTCGTTGTACTGCAACCGTTTGGCTTTTATACGATGTTCATATTGACCCAGTCCACGAGACTTCCTCCCTCGTGTTGGGTGAAAACGTGCTGAGCTTTCGTCCATCATTTAATGGACATCATCAGAGATGGGTGTCATTCTTGTAAAAGTCTCACGCTAACACTAAAGCAAGAACACTATCCGGCTCTATCTTACTTCTTATATAGTCTCAATCGGGCCAAAAATTAAAAATTAAAAACCCAGATAGATCTATATAGAGTTGTTTGGTTAATTTGCTTTCATACTGGTTCTGTTATTTTTGTTCGATTGTATGAATATGTATATTTGTGCGTGTCAGCGTCTATATGCAATACGGTTCCTAAATCAGACTTGTCAAAGGTTACATCTCAGGTTCTGATCCTCAAGAACTAGGCAGTATCGTTCAAAGATTTTCTCTTGTGTTATTAGTTCTTGAGGATCAGAACCTGAGATTTAACCTTTGACAAGTCTGATTTATAAACCTTATTGCATATAGACGCTAAAATGCACAAATATACATACTCATACAATCGAGCAAAAATAACAGGATCAGTATAAAAGAAAATTAATCAAACCACTCTATGTCGATCTATCTAGGTTTTTGATTTTTGATTTTTTGGCTAGTTTGTGTCAATATAATAAGTAAGATATAGCCGGATAGTGTTCTTTGACTGGTGTTAACTTGATACTTTTACAGGAATGACACCCAGCTCTGATGATGTCCATCATATGATGGACGAAAGCTCAGCACATTTTCACCCGAAACGAGGGAGGAAGTCTCGTGTACTGTGTCAACATGAATATCGTATAAAAGCCAAACGGCTGCAGTACAACGAGTGTCATCCATCGTCATCTGGTGAGATCGACCAACAAATCTCTTTTTCATGCACTTTTATTCGAAATTAAGGTCCTCTAACAATAGTATCTCAGGAGATTCATCGAAACCCAGTTACTCTTCGTATCTAAAAACAACTAATTAGGACAAATTAGAAGATTAAACGACTCTTCGTCCATGCTTCTGGTGCCAAAATAATGATACGTTGATTACGGATGAGATGGAGCATACAATTCATTTATTCTTTATGAGTAACACTTTGCTTAACCAAGACTTCTTGTAAAGAAACTTCGGAACTTCTCTGCATATCAGGTTGCAGTAAGGTTTTTTTCCATGCAGAATTGTCTATATGAGGTAAACTGTCGACCCATATGGAAGGAGTAATCTCAAACCAAAAGCCCGTGGATCTGGGATTCGGAGGTCGTTGAATTTATGGTCTATATAGGATACTAGATAAAAAGGTAGAAAACCTAACTTTTTAAAAGGAATGGAGACGTCAATGCATGTGGAACTTTAGGGAGTCAATACCAATCAAACAAATAAGCAACTTCATGAATATAGGGAACTAGCATATAAAATTATTTCATAACTATCTCTGGCTATTATGTAGAATTAGGGTGCGAGAGGGAACAGGATTACACATCAAGTGCGGTAAGAGGACTAGACTAATCTGGAGTCTTGCTAAGGCTCTATCTTGCTAAATTACTTATGAGCATCGTATATATTCAACTAAAATAAGCGTTACTATCACAATATCAAACGTTAGATTATTCATGTAAGGTAACTTCATCATTTTCATGTGTCTACTTTACTTATCTACAAGAGCCTAATTTAAACATGAAGTAGCCAACTAAATCATGGGATGTTGGCAGTAGAATTTCGTTTTTTCTCAACTTTGGTTTCTGGATATGGCAATATATGTTACATGTTAGATGCAAGTCCACAATCCGGCAGTCATGATTCCAAAGCAATCCCCTTTCGGTTTCATATCAGGCCAATTTACTAAACTCTTTCACTTGCCTTTTCAAGCAAAACGAAAGATTTGCCAGAATCAATGTGTTTAACACATACCCAGATAATTGAGTATTAGGAAGAGTGGACTTACATAGAGCAAGATTACTAAACAAATTTAAGGCTTGAGACCATTGGCAAACCGCGCCACGTAGTGTTTTTCTTATGATAGAACTGTGGATGTACTTTAATTTTGCACAAAACGAGACATAAGCTCAGCACAGCTTTAGCCTAGAGCTAAAATTTCCCCTTCCCATCTCTCTTGAACCATTTTTCTAATTACGTAACATGCTTTGAAACATAGCCTAATAATAATATGATTATAAATATATATTTGCCTGTTTGCATAAAAATACTCTTCCTCTTATTGAGGTATCTTAAAATTTGCCTATAACACTAACTCCATAATTATTCTTAATTTGGCGAATTTAATTATCCTCAAAATTAATTTTACTTACTTGTAGAAGGGAAATTAAATGCAAATTAGCACAGAAACCACAGAAATATTAATGTTTATCCGACACTAGTTGAATGCAAGCTCTTGTCAATAATACATGTATGCAACTCTTTGTTACCCTAGACACCAACCCATTTGGCCGGCCTCTATTGGAAACCAAAAGATGCTCTTCAGTGTCTACACAACGCTATCCGCGTCGTCAATGCGATGATGGCAGTTGGCATTGACTACAATATACAGCCGACTGAAATCACCAAGCCACATCCAATCGGCCTGCTCTTGCTTTGTCTTCATCTCTTTCGCGTGCTTCCCGGCTATGCAATCACTGATCAGATCGAACTATCTGGTAGGCTATCTTTATGTTAATCGTAATCTGGCTTCCCAAGCTAATCAAGATCTTTAAAGGTTGATTGCTTATTTCGAGTAATCTGCCCTCGAAAAGCTAATATTAACGTTTATTCTGTCATGTTTAGCCGATTTTTAGAATTACTACTCTATTTCGACTGGCCAAAGTATTCTTTACTTGAGCTTTTTTTTATCAAAATATTCCGGTAAGGTCATTAATTCAAATTAGTCCACAACTATGCATTCAAGAAGTTGAAAAATTAA